TTCAAGGGTGTTAATCCTTCATTGACCGTAACCGACTTCCGAGCCCGACATATTTCTGGTGAAACGTAAATCAGGTAAGATGGTATCCGACCCACCTAAATTATCCTTCATTGATCGTAACCGACTCTCGAGCCCGACATATTTCTGGTGAAACGTAGATCAGGTAAGATGGTATCCGACCCACCTAAATTCGTTTTAAAATGGTCGGTGACGACTCTAACCCAATTCATTCTAGTCAAAATTCAATTCTGAGACCCAATCGAAAGACGATAACGACACTAATTAAAAGTGGTCTTTTATCCTTCTGGTGGTAGAGATCGTGCTTCTGGCATTTGTTCGTTCTTGTTCACTCTCCCATTTGTCTAGAGAGAAGTATACTTATGTTTTTCCCTCGTGATGGTGACCGTGTAATTGGAGTGATTATTGATAAAAACTATATTCTTTTGTCATTAGGTGGGAGATGTAGCCATCACGCGCTGATGTATCATAAAGACTTTTTTTTAAAATTTTATTAAAACAAAAAAAATATAATCTTAATAATACAATTACTCAAAGAAAATTTTAAGCTAAAACACTCAAATATGAAATAAAAGTAAAAAGAAAACTAAGTACACAATAATAATAGAAGTCTTCTTTTGAATCTAATGTTCATCATCCATAGTAACTCAGTAATCTTCAATAATATTTATTTGTCTCAAATTAACTAAACGTTTTAGAGATAATAAAGGAATGACGGGTGAACACAAATAAATTTATTGGTTGATTCGCAAAATATATCTGAATATATAGGTAAAATAATCGCAAAAAAAAAATCTAATCACCGAAAGACTGTCGAAAATAATAAATCAAATATGATCATAATTTATTTAGAAGAAAATAGCAAAAACAGGTGGGACTCGAAAAGATGACGATAAAGCAAGTACTGTTCAAACATGTTCTTTCTTACATATGAATTGTACTAAAAGCAGGGCAAACTTGTATGAAGTATACAAATACAGACAACAATTTAAGAAACACACAATTCCATCGTCATTCTTGTTTTAACTTGAAATTCAAGCTTTCTCTTCTTCTTTCTCTTCATCAGTTTTGGGCTGGTAACCAGGAAGCTTCCTCCTTGATTTTCTCCAAAATTCCCTTCTTCTTTGCGTCGCCTTCATGGTGAGGCTCAGCTGCTACTGCTGGAGGTGGCCTGCTCACCTCTTCAGCTTTGCTATGTTGCCCAGGGAGTTTCTCTTTGATCTTCTCAAGGAACCCTTTCTTTTCAGCCGCGTATGGCTGAACCATTGCTTCATCGTACTTCTCCACCGGGACTACTGTGTCCTCTTCTTTCTTTTCCTCTTCGGTCTTCTCCTTCTTCTTCTTCTTCTTCTTCTTCTTCTCTCCTCCTCCACCTTCTTCCTCGTCGCTCGACTGCATATTTCAGACAAACAGATTAAATGTTAGGAATAATTAAAGTATAATCCAAAAATGGAAACTTGTCTTGTTCATGTTCTTACAGAACTGGAGCTGCTATCTGAACGGTGAAGCTTCTCCAGGAGACCATGCTTCTTCTTCTCCTCTCCCTCTTCCTCTGCCTTTGTTTCTTCAATCTTAACCTTGTCAAACTCAGTCACGATCACCTCCTCTTGGGGCTTCTCCTCTTCTTTCTTCCCCATTAAATCGAACAGCCCTCGGTCCTTGGACTCCACTGTTTCTTCACCGGCGACGCTGCTCTCGACCTCAGGGGCCTTTCTGGTACGCTCCTCTGTCATTTTTTTTTTGTGTATCAACAAGCACTAAAATCAAATATGATCAAAGCTAGCTAGTGTTGCGTTGCACTTCTTCAGAGTTGGCTATTGAGTAGTGATTGGTGGATTTTGAGAAATGGGAAGCTGAGATTTTATAGCATCCAAAGCCTCGTAATTGGCAACGCGGATCAGACGCTATTAAGGAAAGGGAGACATCCAAAACTTAACGGAAGCTAACGGCTAGCCAATCGAGCGCAATTCATGTAACCGACGTTTGCATTGATATAAGTAAATAAAAAATTTGAAGCAATATGCTCTCTAAACATAATTGATTGTTTCGTACTCGCTCTTTTATTGGAAGTCTGTCCTTTAAACACATGTGCTAACTAAAGCAAGCGAGTGTAGTAATCGTTTATAAGCTAGCGCTGGTGGAAATGAATGGTCAAAAGACAGGAAAAAAAGGAAGACACTGTACAACAAGTCATGCGAGCATGGAACCAATCGTATCGATGACACGTGGAAGAAGAACGTGGAGGGCAGTTTTGGCCTGAGAAGGTCGGTGTAGGGACCCAGACAGAGATATGTTACTTGGGGCTCAGCCTAGGGTAATTATGTGGTACGCCAGTTTAATATAATGTTAAAAAAATATTATACTTAAAATATTAATATTTTTTAAAATAATCAGTAGAGTATTATTTAAAATATTATTTTTTATCAAAAATATTAATTTTATTATCTAAAACGAATATTTTAGATATAAACATTTTTGATAAAAAAATAACATTTTAGGTAATATCCGATATTAATATTTTCGGTAGAAAATTTATATTTTAAATACTATTTTATCGAAAATATTAAAAAAATATTAATATTTATGGTAGCGTCTTTTCTTTGCCTTATTTTATGTTACCTTTTCTTAGACATCCCTGCCTATGCGATTCAGTCAGTCTACATATTTAAAATAAAAAAATTATGGTAAACTAAATATATAGTATCTAAAATATTAGTTTTGATCTGATTTAATATCTAAACTTTTAAATTTTTTTCAAAATCATATCTAACGTTTAGTTTTTATTTTATTTTAGTATATCACCATTAAAAATTTAACATGTTGAGTACATAAACTATGAATTTTGGTATATTTTAATACTTAAACTTTTATTTTTTTTCAAAACTTAACGTTCAATTTTGAACTGGAGTAATAAAATAAAACAAAACCTATTTTTTAAAACCACAATGTACTAAAGTTAAACAAAAATTAAACTTTATGTATATTTTAATTTTTTTGAAAATTTAGATACTAAAATGAATCAAAACTAATAATTTAAATAATAGACGCGTAATTTACTCAAAAAATATATCATATTATTTTTTATCAAAAACAATATAGTACTAATGAGGTAATGAGTCTATCGCAAACTGAAACACATTATTAATATGAGATATCAAAACATATAATCAATTAAATTATTCTTATTAAATATATATTAAAAAATTAAAACCACTCTATAATTAATTTATCTTAAAAATTTAGTTTTAATTGTCAATTAAATAAAAATATTATATGATATGATATGTCAACATTTTATTATATTTTTAATTTTCATATCAACTTTCTCAGTAGTTTTAATCAATTTTATTCAACTAAGCGATGACACATCGCCAACTATGAAGATATATCATTTTGAGTTAGATTAGTCATTTGAATTAGTTTTATCACATTTTATATTTAATTTATATAATAATATCATCACAAAATTTATATATTTTTTATAATTATTGAGCTTAAAATAATTTAAAAAAGAATAAAGATAGATACTTTATATAAAAGTTGAAGATAATTTTATTATTATGATGTTTTAAATCAATGTAGTTTGAGACAATGGATGCATTTTACTCGAAAATTAAAGGTCTGTTTGATTTTAGAAAATATAGGTTATTTTCATTTTTATTTTCTTATAAAATAAAAACGTTGAAGTAAACATGATTGATTATAAAATTGGAAAATGATTTCTGGAAAATAAAAAAAATTGAAAATATGAAAAATAAAATAGATGTTTTCAATATTTTCAATAAAATTGTTTTGAAAATTTAAAAATTAAGGAAATATGATATCTAGTTTTTTAACTTACACAAGTTTAAATCATTCTAACATTTTTTTTGATTTAATGATATTTGAAACCCTCAAACTCTTGTAAAAAATCAATATGATCCCTAAACCTTTTTTACATTTGATGTAGTCCTTAAATTATTTTTTTAATAATTTATTTTTTTAGTATTTTTATATTTAATGTATTATCTAAATAATTGCTTATATTTTTAATCTGATTTTTAAAAAAAAATTAAATAAGTCCTCAAACTTTCTAAAATAATTAATTAAGTTCATCTACCACATCATCGTTCATCGAGTATTGCCACAACAATATTGTGAACTCTCATATCAATATAGTAGATTATCATGTAAGTTTGTGAACTGTCATATAAGCATTGTGGCGGCCAACATTTGATTATGTTATTTAAAGGGTTAGATTTATTTTTTCTAAGTTTAAGGATCATATTTGGTACAAAAAAGTGTTTAGGGACTACACTAATTATTTTTTTCTCAAAAGTTTGATGGTCTCAATCACCACTAAACATAATTTTTTTATGTTAATGACATTTTTGTGTGCTATTCCTTATAACAATATTTTTGTATATTTTAAAATTTAATTGATTTCCAATATGTATTAAGATCATATTCTTACAATAAATTAAAATAAATTTTGTATTATAGAATTTATTATCAATTTTATTGCTTTATATTTACATAACTCACATGTTAAATTTATATAATGAAAATTTTAATAATTATAGTTTAATTTAATTATTTAATAATTATTTGTTTATTTCTATTTTAAAAAATTAGATACCACATAAATTTTTACTATTTTAATTTTGAATTAAAATTTTCATTATATTAAATAAATATGTTTTCAAATTTTCAAAAATTAAAAATAAACATTATTTTCTGAAAATAAAAAAAATTAAAATCGAATGGATCCTAAACATCGCTACCCATACGAAGTGCATAGCCCATTCAACTATAGGCCTGACTGGTCGTGCTCAGTCGAACTGAAAGCCCGTCAAACACGCCGGCTATGCTTCTATTTTTTTTTATAAAAAAAGGAATTCATTAATATTTTCAGCTATTTGGGGAATAAAAAAGAAAAGGAAAAAGAAAGAAAAAAGGAGGGTAATCGGAGGGAGAGAGGGAGATGGAGAAAGAAAATTAAGAGGGAGAGAGGGTCTACGGACCGCCAACGCAACGATCCGAGGCCAAATTGAATTTAACACTGATGCTATCACTTACCTTTTTTATAGCTCCGATTCGCTTACTACTCTGCAAATTCTCAAATTTCAAAGAATTTGTAACCTCCAAACATCAACAAAACAGAAGGCCGATAGTCAGGGAAAGAAGGAAGGAAGCGATTATAACGCGATCGAATTTAGCAGAGCTGTTGAGAGAGTATCAGATTCGATCCAAGCATGACTGGGCCTCCGTTTCGATTTTCACTTCGACGTCTAATTTTACGTCTTCTAGGTATGTCTAATTCCATTATTTGCGTCCTTCGGTATTTTTTTTCGTTAATTTTTTTCTTTCTAATATAACGTTGGAATTTCGTCACTGTTTTAACCTGGTTTTGATTCTATATCAATATCTTTGTTCTTTACGGTATGGTTATGATTTTTTCCCATTAGTTTGAACTTCGATCGGAAAATTTTACCGGTTTACGTTTATAATATAATTTAGATAAAAAGTTCAGCTGTGGCTTCTCTCTATATTTTTAATTTTTTAAAAAATAATTTCCACTTTTCAATCCAATGATACATTTACCAAGAATTGGGGCGGAGCAAAGATTTTTAGAGCAATTAAATTATTGTTTGGAAATACTTTGAAATTTTAGTTGGTTCAAGAAGCGAAATTAACTCTTGGTTTTTATAGACTGCTATTGAGTCCGAATTATGTTAATTAGACCCTCAAAAAGTATAGACCAATAATGTTTGAAGTTGTTGGTTCATCTTAGTTTTAATCAGAAATAGAAATAACATGGCTGGAAGAAGCCTGCCCCTTGGGGGTGACCAGAGAATTAGAAAATTCCTCCAGTGTGTATCATGTAGCTGATTCGTGGGACTGAGAGTTTGTTGTGGAGATGAGTACAGGTTCTGATAATGCGGTAGCCCTTGCAAATCAGCTTTAGGTGTACTTATGAGTTATGGCATTGTTGTTATCTTGCTAACCTTTACTTTTCTACTTGTCTGCCGGGTTTTACATTTTATATTTTCAACTGAATCAATGAATTGGGTGGTTGTAGTGTGAATTAACTGTATGATGGTAGATACCGTTGTTTCAGCCGTAACAGTTGTATATCATGTGTATCTCTAGTTTTTTCTCAGCTTTGAAGTATCCATAAGAGCAGAAGGCTTATCAATCTTGGGAATAGGTTCTTCAGAATTTGTTTGGATTATCCGAGACCATGGAAGATTTGGCTAGGTGTCCTTATTGCTCAGATTGAGAAGCCTTGATGCCATAAGTTGAAAACATTAAGCTGTTGACGACGAACTTTATACTTTGCAGCATGTGTTCATTTGATGATTCTTGCTATTTATGCATGTGTAGTTTTAACAAGTTTTGAAATGTTTGTAGGGTTACAATTAGATTGAGTAAATTATATGAGGCAGGAGATTTCAACCTATTATTTGAAAATTTGACGTACAGACTAAGCTAGTTTTATTGTGATCCATTCATTTGGTCTTCTTTGCCCTGTTATCTAATCATTGTGCTTTTTTGTTTTGTGATTGCAGGGTTGATGTTGTGCTCTTTGTTATATGGGAACTTGTTATTTTAACTTTCCTGGTTTTTTCAGCTGTTTCTTTATATTTTAGGCATATGCAACTTGCCTTTATCCTAGTATGCATAACCATGCTATTGCTCCTCTGCATGAAAATCACTAAACAAATTAGATTGGCTAGGAAAAAGAAAAGGAGGATGCTTCTTCCGTTATCTATGTAGAACTACATGAAGCTTGGATTTAAAAAAACGAACCAACTTTTGGTTTAAATTTGAGATCTATTGATAATTGCATTTTGTTCATGCGTACTGTGGTTAAGAGAATGTGAATTGGCCCAAGGCTAGTTGATACTGGAATACTGTTTCGATATGATCACCTCAAAAGTTGGGGAACCATTGGGGAGTCTAATGAATTGAGGTGGAAAGTTGGGATACTCTAATTGAACTGGGTAGCAGTTAATCTTAAGGTGCAGGGCGGTTCTCACTACCTTTTTCCCCCATTCGTAGCTGTGAGAAACTAAATTTAGAATTCTGATCCAGGTGGGAATGTAGTAAACAATGTTTGCTTTATTTTGTAACGTATTCAGACTTGGTTGTAGTCTTAAAGACATCAGAGGATAGTAGTAGATGGTGTGAGTGATTGAAACATTTTTGCATGTATGATACACCCGTAAAGTTGATTTGCAACCGATCAATAGTATACGTAGGTGGAAAAGTTCTACTGTCCACTATTAAATTATACAAAGGTTAATAATTTCTTTCCTCTTATCTATTTGTACTTTTTGATCCAGACATCCAATATCGTGGGAATTTATTAAAAATTTGAAATTCAAGAGTCAGTGTATGGCCCGGCCCCTTAAAGCAAAATCAATGATCCCCAAGGCATTTAGAACGCAGAAAATCATAGTCACGTGTCTTGTTTGATTGGGGTACCCTAATCGAGCCTTCCCTTGGCGATATAAATCATCCACGTCATTTTGCAGTGTGAGATGACTTTTATGGTGTAAATTTCTTTTTATACCGATCAAGGGACAAAATTCTTGTGAAGCAATGGTCAAGTCCAATAACACGAACAATGCCTTGTCTGGCATTTCGGAGACGTGTCTTTGAACCAATGAGTTGACAAGAAATGAGTTGCTTCTTCCAAATCCAATGCCATCCATTTCCTCACGACGGCCGCCAGTTTTTTCGAGCTAATGATGGGAATAAACACGGCCTGCAGTGGCAGTCAAAAGAAGTGGTCAGCTTTTCTTTCTGTATCAAAATTGTAAACAGGCACTGGTAAGAACAACTCTGCCAGTACGTTCTGAAATCTGAACTACAATATATATATTTGTGTTGTGGGTGTTCTCTTTTAGCAGAAAACTAGTGGAAATTGAGTTTCAACAGAAACCATGTGTTGATTGGATATTGAAGATGATAAGGACTACGGTTCATGGATGCACCTAGGAGAGAGAATTATTTTTTTTTTCTTACAAAATAAATTATTATATATTTTAAAAAAATTTATATTTTATTTATTGATAATTCATTCTCATTGTTAAAATTTTATAAATTTATTTGTCAAAATTTTAAAGTTTTATATTCTAACATAAATTGTTGCGCACGTTTATGCGTGACTTTGTTTTGGATTTTGCTGAGGCCTAACAATGGATTTTACTATGGGTTGTTAATGAGTTGAACAGTTCGTGAGTTGTTTATATTCAGTTTGGTTAATATTTGATTTGGATTTACTTGATACAAATTTAAATTCAACTCGAAATTTTTATAAATTGAGTCTAGAAAAGTCTAATTAAACTTGATAAATTCGTGAACAATTCGTTAATTTTTTAAACTATTTTTTTAATATTTACCTTAAAATTGTTTTACTCCAAAAATAAGTCAAAATAATAATTATTATTTTGAAATTTAGACTTTGAATGTGCTTCATATACTCTTTTGATTCTTTTTAGTTAATTTTGTTAAATTATGTTTAAATTAAGCTCCATATAGTATTATTAAATTTTACTTTTAGTTAAATGAACAAGGTAAAATTTTTAGTGAGTTTAACGAGCAATGAGTCGAGTTGAATAACAATTTTAAAAAGCAACAAGTCGAGTCAAATAATAAATTTTTTTAGCGAGCACAAATAAAACATTAACCAACTTATAATCTTCTATCTCAATACCCACCCTTAGATTTCACAATTAATTGAGCAAAAATCACAACAGATGAAAAAGTACATAATTGTCCAGATTCGGGGTATTCACTTGTCGGCTGACATTTTGTATTTCCGCAGAGGAAAGTAATTCCCTTTGAGTTTGGTTTCAGTAGATCTCATACGTAAGAGTAAATACCCAAAAGCCCAGTATCAGAAACGAGCTCATGATCCGATCCAGCAGATATAAGAATCAGGCCTTCAATTGCGTATTCATTCTTCAATTTCCCATCCAACAGTTGGGATCGTTCAAATCAAAGGTACAATGCAATCTAGTGATCAACTCCGCTGAATTTGAGTCGAGAGCCACAATTTCAGCTTCGAACATCTGAGACCATTTCTGGTGATTTTGGGTTCCGTCAAGAGAGAGAGAGAGAGAGAGAGAGGGATGGGAGGTGGTCATGGAGGTGGCACAACTTACAAAGGTGTAACTTTGCATCACCCTAAGAGATAATTGTTTATTTAAAAACAATTCAAACATCACAAAATGATACTTTAGCGACGTTTTTTAAATAAACGTTGTAATAGAGTAGTACTTTTGACGCCGTTTTTATATAAATGCCGCAATAGATACATATGTAGTGACGTTTTTTCCACAAAGGCCACAACAGAGTAATACTTTAGCGTCGTTTTTATACAAACTCCGCAATAGGTCAATCTATAATAGCGTTTTTTCGACAAACGCCACAACAAATTAGTACTTTAATGGCGTTTTTATAAAAACGCCACAATAGTATTCACCTATAGGGACGTTTTTCTAATAAACGCCGCAACATATTATAACGTTAACGGCATTTTTACACAAACGCCGCAAAAATATGTACTTTAGCGACGTTTTTTAGAAAACGCATCTATAAAATGATAAATGATGGCGTCAATATTTGATAATTTTATTTGTTTAAATCCCTCTCCTCTTTTCCATATGTTCCCACGATCCCCTTTTCCTCTTGTCCATCTCCGCCGATCATAGTATATGCTATTCACTTATAAAAGCCTTTTTTTTTTCGCTATTAGATTTATTTTTTCAAATCCCTTTCCCCTTTTTCATCTTTTCCATCCACGCAAAACTGGTGCTGCTCGTCGCCGGTCGAAGCTGCCGAGGCCTCCAACGTGTCGCATCAATGCTTGACTCTCTGATTTGAGGTGCAAATAGTATCTGCTATTCACTTATGAAAACCTTTTTTGCTGGACATTAGATCTATTTTTTCAAGCTTTTGAGCTTGAATTGTTTGGAGGAAAACTCTAATCTATCTACTGGTTTTATCTGTTTTTTCTGGGTTTCTAAATCCTAGGGTTTCGAATCTATAGTTTGTGCTTTGATAATGTGGATTTTTATGGTCTGGTTTTGTATCTATGGGATTCGATGAACTGTATATGTTCTTGATTCGTCTTCACTAATATCACTTAGATCATTGATAATTAAACCTTCATTTCTTGTTGAGAAAATGACTCTTGTTTTTGGTGATTCAAAAATTGAGTTTTTCTTTTTGTTTTTCCTTTGGGCAGAGGCTTGGGGTGTTAGGAACTATTCAGTGTTAAGAAACGATCAACTAAGAATTAAAGGGGCTAACGATGTGATTGTTGTTGCCTCTAGTAAAGGTGGTGTTGGCAAGTCTACCAATGATGGTAATCTATTCTTTTTTCATGTTCATGGGTTAGGAATACAATTTTTCCAGGGATTTGTTTCACTCATGTTGGTTTATTTGCAATAGTTGCAGTTAATTTGGCGGTATCATTAGCTAACAGGTGTGGATTGAATGTAGGAGTGCTTGATGTATATGTGTACGGAGGTAATATTTCTATCTTCCAGGAGATGATCTTTCTTCAGTCAATGGAAAAAAATGTGAAAGTGTTCTATTAGTATATTGATTAATTATCCATTAGTACAACACTTGTTTTGGAGAATAAGTTCATCTTCCTGAAACTGTCTTTTGCTATGCATTTGCCCTTTTATCAATATCATTTGTTGTTTAGTAAATATCCTTTGCCAAATTTCCCAAGAAACTCTTTCTCGAAACTAACATACAGATATGAAGATGATTCCTATTGAGAACTATGGAGTGAAGTGTATGTCAATGGGATTTCCGGTGGATAAGGATGCGCCAACCGTGTGGAGAGAACCCATGATATTCAAATTTATATAGGTTTTGTCTTATTTTTCTTTCCTTCATTCTGGAATGCACATCTCTTTATAGCTTCAAATCCAGTTGTCTGTATATCACACCGTTAATCAGTAGAGCAGAGAAAAATAACATGTCGCCGACATCTTTGATTCAAATCCAACCTTAGTTGAGTCGACTTCCCTGTTTTATATAATCTAGATATTGTGTTATAAGTCGCCATTGTTTCTTTTGAGAGTTTGTCCTGCAAATTGAAATTCACATATCTTTATAACAATTGCATTCACTGAGCTTAAGAATATTGCATGCTAAACTATTTTAGATGTTTCTATATTTTTTATTTACATAGTATTTTATGATAGCCTATGTTCATTTCAGGTGATGAGTGCTCTTCAGAAAATGTCGAGGGATGTTGACTGGAGAGATCTTGATATCCTTGTGGTGGATATGCCCCTGGAACAGGTGATGCACAACTAACCATGTCCCAGAAGCTTCAGTTGTCAGGTAGACAATTAAACTATAGCCTTTTTTTTATCCCTTTCGGGAACAAAGTATATGGTACCATGCATATGACTGGATAGGCGTTCCACTTACCATGTAAATTCAAGATTCGTCTATCAAACCTCACTAATATCACTTAGATCATCGGTGCCTGTATATGCCTTTTAGTTGATTTCTTTGCTATAGTTGAAATCATTTTTGACATGCGGGGATACATTCTGGAACGGGAAAAAGGAAATGAAGGAAAACATATCTTACTTCACTTCCCCTATCCAATACATTCATTTACTTAAAAAATTTATGTTTGATGTTTTCGCTTAGGTGCTTTAATAGTTTCAACCCCACAAGATGTTGCACTGATTGATGCTCGTAGAGGAGTTAGAATGTTCTCTAAAGTTCAAGTTCTTGTAAGTGGTAATTTCTGCACGAATTCTCTTATCATGCCTGCAAAGCTTGTTGATAATTTTTGTGTAGCGCCTAAATTTGGTATCCTTATGAAGTTTTTAACCATGATTGCTCTCTTCTGCATGAGATATTATTTTTTCATCTTGCCTGTTAAATCTGTGGCGTTGAAAGAATCTTCAATTGCAAAAACATTATCTATCCTCGAGGAAGACGACGCTGCCTCTACTGTTACTCCAAGTAAACACTTCTATCTTTTATTTTAATTTTTTTAAATGTTTGATTTAGTTCTCAATCCACCTCCAATCAAGTTTCATACTGTAGGTGGAAGATCGTTATCTGTTTCAAGTGAAACACTGAAGCGCGCAATGAGTCTTCTTGGTGAACCGGAGCTAGGGGAATTGTTTTTTTTACTTCCTTTCCCCACGAAGGAACAATGAAGATTAAATTCTAGTGAACAATTTTTTTAGTTGAAAGTGAAAAAACCTAAAGTAAATTCAAGAGAACAATGTCAAACTACATTACTTTTAATTTTAATGTTTATAAATTTTAATTTATTTTGTTGTTAAGTATTTTTCTGCATAACTTGTGTCTTAATGAAAATGTATGGTTGTTGTTAATTAGATAAATCTACATGATATTAAATTTAAGTGATGTACAACAGAAATGAAATATGCAAAATCAATTAATCTTAGCTAAAGAAAGGTAATTAGCGACGTTTATATCCAAAAACGCAAAACGCCGCTATAGATGTGACATTTTGCTGCGTTTGTATCCAAAAATGCCACTATAGATATAACCTTTTGCGGCGTTTTTGGATCTTGACCTTTTGAGGCGTTTGTTCAAAAAAACAACTCTATAGATATCGATTTTTTGCGTCGTTTGTTCCAAAAATGCCGCTAACTTTAGCGGCGCTTCTGGCGACGTTTTTCCTATCGCCTTAAGTGCTTTTAGCGGCGTTTAAAAACGGCGCTATAGGACTAAAAAAGCATCACCAAAACTCTGTTTTGTTGTAATGTATCAATTACTTAAATTATATGAATCAATATTAAAAATCAAAATTTCTAACAATTATACCTGCTTTTGACAATGTTTTCGTGTAAGATAGACATCATCATACCAACAAAGAAAGCTAAAAAAATCAAGACTACGGGAGGAGAACCCTGTGGGAAAACAACCAGCCAAGGCTTTAAAGTGAGGAAGAACGATGGGACCAGATTTGTGGGGGCTTTCTGCCAATCAAATGTTGGAGATGTGTCCCCAATGTGCTAGGAGCATTTTGCACAGACACTGGGAAGCCTTGTGATTTTAATCACTCGTCTTGTAATGGCAATGACCAGCTCTGCGTGGGCCGTGGCCCTGGGTATTTATACCTTTACCCCATGCTTTTAACACAATAGACTGCTTCACCTTGTTTTAGCTTAAATTTGTGTAACAGATACCCAGATGAAATATTGAGCACAAAGATCATAGGAGAGAGGCAATTCAAAAAAGCTGTGGAGCTATTCAGCTCTGCTGCTAATCTGTTGAGCGGAAAAATTGATTATCGCCATACGTATATAAATTTCACCAACATTGAAGTGCAATTGAATGGAAGCACCGTAGTAATGACTTGTCCTGCAGATCTTGGTCCCGGTTTTGCTGCTGGAACTACAGATGGGCCTGGAATGTTTGGTTTTCAACAAGGCGAGACAGAGGTTCGCACTTGGCGATTGCCGATTGGCATCCATTATATCGAGCCATGACTTGCTATCCTCGGTCTCTCGTCTTAGAACCTAAGATTCTGATACCACGTACCTCTCTTTGGGCAGATCAATGAGTTTTGGAAACAATTACGGGACTTGATAAAAGAGCCTAGCAAATACTGGGTGGATTGCCAACAACCTAAGCCAGTTTTGCTTAGCACTGGCGAAATGTTTGAACCCTATGCCTGGGCGGTAAGACCGTTATTTTTAACTGTGTCGGTGTGTGGTTGACAATATATAATGCATTGAATATAGATCACGCCTTACCTTTGTCTCACGCCACTCCATATTTGTGCAGCCCGCTATACTTCCCATTCAAAGGCTGAGGTTGGGGAATTTCGTTATCCTATCTGTACCTGGAAGTTAGCTTTTTCTTAACTGATGAGTTAAATTCTTCTCTTTATGGGGGAAGTTTTACAGTATTCTGCAGGGTTAAGTTTTCTTCACTAATAACAATGCAGAGTTCACGACGATGGCCTATCGGCGGCTAAGGAAAGCAGTTAAAGAGACATTGATAAGTAATGGAAATGGAGAATTCACGACGATGTGGTAATAGCAGGACTTACAAACACGTATTCTCAGTATATAGCAACTTTTTGAGGAGTACAAGCTGCAGCGATATGAGGTATATTGGAAGACCATAACAACTCAGATCAAACAACAATATTGTAGTTACGCGCGCGGCTGCCTTTTTATTTATAGTCATATATATATATGCAGGCTGCTTCGACACTATATGGTCCTCATACGTTATCAGCTTACATCCAAGAGTTCACGAAACTCGCAAAAGCAATGGCTACGGGTGAAAAGCCAGCCAGTGTTGGTTTGTTACCACCGGATCTCTCCTCTGTTCAAATCAGCCACTTACAAGACCCTCTAGGAGACTCATCGCCATCAGGAAAAAGATTTGGAGACATGGAGCAAGATGTTGCTCAACCAAATGGAGGCTCATTCAAGAGGGGAGATAAACCGGGGCTACGTTTTGGAGCGCTAATCCAAGAAATGCTCTGCTGATAGAAGGCACATTTGCAGTAGTGGAGATGCTTCAAGGGGAGAGGTGGATTCCCGTCTACGATGATGACGATTTTAGCTTGGTTTTCAAGTGGAATGCTGATAACAGTGGCATGTACGGCTTAGCGACCATTGAATGGGAAGTACCGGAAGTTGCTGCTTCCGGGGTTTATCGGCTCAGGCACTTTGGGTCGTCTAAGAAACTAAGGACTCTCCTAATGAATACTACACAGGCGCATCCAGTGCATTCACGGTGGCATGAATAACCTCAGTGTAATTTGCATCTCAGAAAATAAGGCACAGTTGTCCATCTACATAAGTTTTTCTGAGATTTCAAATCCAGACAACTCTAATGTGTTGAAATTGAACATTAAAACTAGCACATATATGGCTCTTAATCTTACAAAATCTGAAAATTGACGACAATTACCATTTCGGGTTTTTTTTAGCCCCATTACAAAAACGAAGATGTCCAAAATGACAGTATGAAACGAAGGTGTTAGTCCGAACAGCTGCATAAAACGACACCGTTTAAATTAGCATCAACTCTAACAATTACGCCGTTTTATTTACTTAAAAACGGCTCGTAACACTACGTAATTGTTCATTGTTGATATAATTATCGATTCTGATTTATCGCAATTGACATGCATTTCCTTTTTCTCCTTTCTATTGGAAAACAATTGAATCAATGTTGGTTATTGTATTTATTGTAAAAACATATCCCTGAAAATCATAGGAAACTTGAGGTTTTGTTAGCCATTGCAAAAACAAATGCTTGTAAGTTGTAATGAATTTGCTTGGGGTGATGTATGTTTCAAATCCTGAAATGGATGTTTGATAGGTGCTCCAAAGTTGCCACATAGCTGTTATGTGTTATCAGAACTGAATCGACGACATAACTATGGCCTTGATATTTTTCTTTTATCTGTTGATGAGGGCATAACAGGGTATAGAGATTTCTTCATTTTTTGTATTGTATGATTCTTCTTGTTTGTTTTTGCAGTATTGGCTGCCACTAAAGTTTGTTTATTTCAAGGATTTGTATGGATGGACAATGGATGAAAGAGTAAAGGTGATTGGTTTTAAAAAAACAACTTCACGTTTTGTGGTGTTTTCCGCCGTCTGGTATATGTGATATGAGTTTCTGGTTTCATTATTTCTGCTATTTTTGTTAAGCTGTACATGACTACTCTGAGGCTACCTAATTAGACCTTCATTTTTGTTAGGCTGTACATGTGTGCTCTGGTTTCATACATGGTGTAGAGCATGTGTCTTGCTGGAGGGGGCTGAATCGAGGTTTACCAAAGCTCGGGATTGGGCGTAATCAAGGTCTAACAGTGATGTTAAAAAAGATGGCAGATTGTCCTCCCATGTTCTCATTTTTTTCT